TGCTGAGAGAAAGGTAGAACCCCAGGACCCATGACCTCTAGCCCAGACCAGTTATGCCGTAGCCCTAGCCAAACCACATCCGCTGACACCCTTACCAGTTACAGTGATTATACATTATCGTAGTGATTTAATCTAGGTATAACCACGGGACTGTGGCTAAAAAAGATTCATAGCCTCTGGCCCATCATTAAAAAGTACAAATCACACATTTCTTTAGGTGGTAACACCTGTCTGATCATCAAAGAATTAAGAAGGCTAAGACTTAATATATAATACCAAGTACAGTGGAAAACTTATCTAATATACTAGACAGCTAATACATTTTAGATTGGAAATTTATTCTGTCCAGGGAATGCTATATTGTCTGGGTATTATGTACGTGCTTTATTTTCCTTTATTAAACTGTGATAAACTAGCTAGAGAAGTTTTATAAAATTGCTTCAATCTAAACAAAATCCTTTGGTTAAAAAAAATAATTTTTTTTTTCTACTGGTCAATTCTGCTAAATCAGTCCTTGGTGGTCAATATAATGACACATGTCACAATTAGACTGTTCTCACATCCAAAATATGTTCTAAGAAGAAAGCAACTTAGCCATAAGAACTTTTATTTTCATGCCATGGTATCATTGCTACCATAATACCCTATCCTTCATAGCCATAAGCCTTTCAAGCAGATGAATCAATGCAAACAGACATTCTCGATCTGTAGGTATCTCGAATAAACCATCTTTAAGATCATTTTCTTTTCAGCATTGACTAAACAGTAGAGCCAAAAAGGGAGGGGGGGAAAAACCCTTAATCCTATTTACATTGCCTTATTTCACGGGCACTAATATCTTTCGCTGATCTGAGATTATATGCAACACTAAGAATATACAAAAACATCAAAAACTTTAGTTTAGCTTATAAAATAAAAAGAAAGGCAATTCAGTTTACTTATAATTTTAGAGTTTGTTTTCACATATAAAATGCTGTGTTACTAAGCAATGAACACTTTCATAAAAAAATTTATTTCATACTTTTATACAAATATCCACAGGTATTTCCTAATCATGAAATAATTTTACAATGGTAGTTAGTATAAAAATGTATCAAATGTGGAGACCAGTGACTTGACTTGAGATGACATTTTTAACAACTATAAATTTAACCACCACTACATTGTTTCTTTGCTGTTGAACCACCCTTCCGCCCCCTCCCCAACCACCCCATTTTTCAGGACATTCGTTTTTATAGCAAAGGTCTATAAACGCATGCAAAATTATCAGCCTCTTAGCAACCTATAAAGCCAGTGCTTTAGGTTCCAAGTTACCTAAGCAAGAAACTGAGATTTTAAACACTGTTATGACCTGTTTTAGAGAAATTTTTGTAAACAAAATATCATTTGCAAAGCGATTTTTGTGAATGAAAATTCCAAAGTACTAGAATAATGTTCTTAGTATCATAAGGGCATAAGATTTCTGAAAAGAAAAAAAAAAAATTAAAACTCCAAAGCAACAATGGCACATAGCTGTATTTTGTTCTTTTAAAAGATTGAGACACTATGTCCAAACAAATTAGCACCTGTTTGCTGTTGTTCCCCATATAACTTAGCATTTTGAAGCACAGTAATTAAAAAAAAAAAAACACAGCTTTCATATCTGTTCAATCTCTATTGAATGGATAGAATAATGTCTTCCTCCCATTTTTGTTATTACAATTAAAAAACGACTTGAAGTTTTTGTTGAGTAGTCCTAACGTAATTTGGGGAATGTAGATAGGGGAGGAAACAAAGCAAAAAATACAACACTGACTCACTGATTAAATGTTTTCAATGACATTTAAAAACTTAAAAGCCAGGATGTTCTAATCTGACTTTTGGTATCAGGTATTCAGTAGTCTTACACTGGATCGATTTGGATCCACCACAGGCACTCACCATTTCTTTCAAGTCTTGTATATACATACAGCAGTGACGAAAGTTCAAGAAAGAAACCCATTATTTCCCAGAGTTCCTGAAAGTTATAGCATGAAATTCAGAAATGTCACACAGGGCTCTAAACTCAAAAAAATATATATCTGTTAAGAATTAAACATCTTACAGTTAATTCCATCTCTTAAACAAATCTTTTGGGTTTGGAGGGAGGGAGTAAGGGCTATCATGAAGGAAGATACTTTAATAACTTAAAACTTATCTGTAAATTATAACAACTCTCTGGTACATTTACAAAGAATTATTTTCTTTTTTGCAGTAAATTTAGGTCAAACCGATGACCTCCCATGTTCTAATTCTGATTGCTTAATCCAACCTGAAGGGTAAACTGGAAAATCTTTGGCCTATTAGTCAGTAACAAAATGGTTTGTAGAAAAGAAAAAAATAAATACCATATACAAATAAGTATAACTAGCATTCAAGTCTGTTGCACCTGTGTGTTTTAGTGAAAAGAGAGAATGACACCTGTGTATGTATTTGGTGTGAGCAAGTATTCACACATCTAGGAAATGGAAAAACATGGCAGGATGGCAACATCACCTTCTATTGCACATTTAATTTAAGATAGCACTTTAAATTGAAACACAACTCTCCCTACGGCATTGTCTTGTGATGCTGGACAGTGAACTTGCAGGGTCTTCAGTCCTATAGGAAGAATGTTTGCAGAGGCAGTGCCAAGGGTTAGGATGGCCACTCTGTTGACACAGTGACTGTGGGTGCCTTCTTCCAGCTACACTACCGGGAGGAATGTCGTGGAACAGGGCTGCCCTTCCCCGGCACATGTGAGTCAGCCACACCAAAAAACAAAGGCAACTCAGAAAATTAAATTAAGGCAGTTAAAGAAAAATCCATTCCAACAGTCTTAAATTTGGCTGTGCAAAACACGAGCCTTAGGCTACGTAACAATATCCACAGCAGTTATAACTGTAGGTTCGTACTGTATATAGTCTGTCTGAAATCAATATTCAGGTTTTGAACAGGCTTTTAAATCCATTTGAATTTCTGAGTTGGGAAAATTTTTTAAAGCAGTTTGGGTACTATGAAGTTTCTTTGGCCCCTCTAAGAGTAGCTTTCATTTTCATTCCACCTTGTGATCCACTGTTTTTTTTCAAGGTTATCATTATATTTTTCATCTTTGATCTCTCGCTCTTCTTTCCGGATCCTGACAGCATGGTATCGGGGAACGCTATCATCGTACCTAGAGCGTTTAAAGAATCCACACTGGAGAAGGGGTAAAGAGAAACAGAAACAAATTAAGTAATCTCAGGAAAAGCAAGTACACTAAACGGGAATGTCTACGCTTTCTGTTCAGCCATGCCTACTTCTGGCCTAAGGAAAAAAAGACATGGTTTTCTTCTAAGAAAGAACTAATAAATCAAAAAGAAATGGAAGAGAAAAACAGCTGTAAAACTGGAAGTCCGTTTTTCCATCCTTTCTTTACATTTTGTAACAATATATAAGCTATACCCTTAGCAAAATTTAAGAGTTTATAAAACAGTGCTTCCATTTTTTATAATTATAATACTATATGTAAAATCTAATTTTTAGATTAGAACATCATTTTGAGGAACAATTTTTTTAAAGGCCGTAAACCAAAGATTATTTCCACTCTCCCACTAACCAAATGGAACTCAGGTCACAAATATTTTACAAATTATAATTTCAATATGCCAGTATTCAAATGGGTCAATTTAAGAGTCTTCTCTCCTCTGAGGCTCCAGTACACATCTCTCATTAGCTAGAAGATAATTTACACTGCTTAGACTTGCTGTTGTGCTTCCAAATTAAGCTGTTTCATTAAAAACTCATGTAACTCTGTCCTGCCATAAAATCAATCATGTATCACAAAGAACTTGAGGAAAGTATCATTAGATTTAATTTCAGAGCATCGCCTAATTTTTTCTGTTGCAAAAGACATTTACATTAAAATTATTAATATATATTTCCTTCATTTAAAAAAAAAACTCAATCTGATCCAAAGTAGATTTTTACTGAGAACATATCTGGATATTTAAAAATCAGATTTAATTTTTTTTAATGAATAAAATATGCCTTTAAAAAATGTGTTTTTAATTTAAATATGCAGATAGAAGAAGGATAAGGAAGGTACTTAGAATGGTCGATTAATGTGTTTATTATGTGACATCGACAGGAACAGAACATTTATGTTGAATGAATTTGATAAAGAGGTCATGGGGCAAAATAAAATTACGTGCATAATTATCACTGAATCAATAGGAAAAACAGACCAAGAAGTCTTATTCTGAGGTCATTTCTACATGGACTCCTTTATTATTCTGTGCAAAAAAAAGCCAGAATACCTATCTGTTATAAAATGTGGCTCTTGCCCCGTTTAAATAAAGAAGGAATTCAAGGTTGATATGTATAACTGAAATGAAAATTTTGAGATTCATCATGACAGTGCCATGGAAAGGGATTACAGGAGTAATTCTATCTTCTCATGCCCACAGAAATGGAAAAAGGAATCACTGTCAATTCCTGTTTCCATGGATTTACAAATAAAAGAAGCAAAACATGAACTTTAAAATCAACTGAGACCCAAGGTTTCTTGGGACATGAAATAAGGTCAAACTCCATTACAACATATTGAAATAAAAACTGTCCAGAGCATTTTTATACTAGAATTGAGTACATTGAAGGTCACTTTGGTAAAGAACTATCTTCTGAAATTGGCCATAATGTCCATCATGCCAATAGTTTTGGTTTGTTGCAATGATCTTTGACCTGTGGTAGATATTGCAGGAAAAGGAAGTTTCATGCTTAGCTGGCATAAAACAATTTCTGAGCAACAATAAAAGCATTCCAAGCCTTCCCCCATCACTTTATAGCAAGGAGATCAAAAAGATGACAGCGAGAAAGCCTTCTCAAGAGAAACACCATATTCCCAACATGCAATAGGTTAATTAAGCAGTCGACATAAGCATCTATCTGTGGGAAATTCCAAAATGGACAAGAAATCTGGAATGATTTCTTATGCATCTTTGAAATTCTAAGTGGAATGCTGCATACTGGATTAACAACACTTGGCAAACTGGACTACTATGGAGGTGAAAGCCTCCTTTTGTGTGTAATTAGATTGCAATTTTCTTGAATGCTATGGGTGATGTTTAACAACAAACAATAACACAAAGTAACTCACCTGCAACAAAAGATTCTTTGTGCAATAAAATAAAACTGTGAGCTTTCAATAAATTATATAAAATAAATCCAAGCAAGGCAAGCCAGTGTGGACATTTGAAAACATCTGTTAATGGGACACACACAGCAAGCGGTTGCTCTTAAAGTTAGCCACCACAACCATAGCAGGTCCCACAGCTAGCAATTAAAAAACATTTATCAATTACCAATTACAGAAGTAGATCAATACTATGCATCAGAAGTAAGCCTCTCTTTATCAGACGGCTGAGCATGGATCTCAGCCTTGTGATATGTGGCATCATAATGATCTTTCTTATTTCTCTTGAAGAAACCACACTACAAGGAAGCAAGGTATTTAGTCAGTTTTACAGTTTTGTGTGTAAGAGTTAAACAAAAGAAAATCTCAGATTTTAACCTGTTTTCTATTCATAGCTTGTTTACAAAGAAATCACTATGGACCAACAGTGAATAGCCACTGCACCATGTTACATCCAGACAGCATTAAACCCAACTCATATTACCATGAGTCTCTGGTCAAATACTTATATAGGTGACATTTGTTAGCTAATTGATTTTTCTATTTGTAACAGAAATCCTGAGGACAAAATCATCCTTAAAGGGAAAATATAAACACATTTGATTATAGCTCTGGGTGGTTTCTTCTTGCAGGAGAATATGGACTCTAAAATAGGCAAAAGATTGACTTCTGCAGTTTATTGAGACAAAGGTTAAAGAATAAATTCTCTAAGCAAGATTTACCACAAATCTGAGTAAAATAGAGATACAGTATTTTTCTGCCTTTCACAGTAAATTTTATGGAACAAATGCCATCTACTTGAGGCCTCTGGATTTATGGGGTGAATCACAATATAAATTCAACTATACCATCGTGAAAGAATGATTGCTGTCATTTTCCCAAATTCAGAACCACCGTGTAATCCTGAAGTGGTAGGAACGTATGCTCCTTAGCTTAGGTCACTCTAAATGAGTATCAAAGTATAATTCCACTTTCTACTATAATTTCCTTCATTTGATGATGGAGAACTTTTTCTACTTACTTTTATCCCGTTCCTAAGGAACTGCCCTTTGAAATACAACTTGGTCGAATAAATAAATCTCTGCACTTCCAAAAAAGTCTGCTTCCTAGTCTGGTACTTCATGAAGGTAAAAATCTAGATCTGCTTTGTACAATACGGTAGCTTAACTACATGTGGCTATTCAAATTTAAATTAAATTAAATTAAAAGTCAACACCTCAGTTGCACAAGCCATATTCCAAGTGCTCAGTAGCCACACATGACCAGTGACGACTGTATTGGACAGTGCCTCTTCAGAACATTTCCATTACCCCATAAAGTTTTATTGGGCAGTGTTGATCGAGACTATCTCGATATTTATTTGTGACTCTCACTTTAACATGCAGTGAACACTCCTAGGCAACTTTCAATAACATGTGCTACTATACGGAACGGAAAAGGAAGAAACGAGAAACCAAGAGCCCTGGTCCTGCTTCCAACTTGGCAACATTCTTAATATCTGTGGTCGTGAGCATCCTGAGCATCTTTGTTTGCAAAACGAAGGTGACTGGACCAGCCTGGAGGACTTTTCTCTTTTGCCTCCAAACAAAAGCCTATGCAGAACCCCAACATTTAAAGCAGATAAAATAAGACCTGTTTGGTTGAAGTGGGGATGTTGGCCTTTGCCCCACCTGCTTAGTCTTGGCACCCACATGCATGTGCAAAACCCAGTTTAAAGGCCACTGGATTAGACTCCTTTCTGGCCCTAAAATTCCATGACTTTCACACATAAAAACATAGTTCAGTTTCAGAAAGGATATGCATAAAGTAATAAAAATGATTTTTCATGTGGGGGTTATAGATGTTATCTGATTACTTTAGAGTTCACTTGTGAGTTGGGATACTTTAGAATTAAAAAAACAAAACAAAACAAAACAAAAATACCCAATAAAATCATCTAAGTCCTACTCACTTATAAAACAGCTGAGGCAAACCAGTACCCCAGGGAGGTGAAATGATTTGCCCAAGATTATAAAGCTTGGATTTCTTAACTCTCAATGCACTGCTACGTCTCCCTCATTAAAGACTGCCAGTCGGACCTGTTCCAAAAGAGATTACCTTTGTGGCCTTATCTGGAGAGCCCAAGAAGGCCATCCTAATATCAAACTTCAAATTCAGTTTTTGGTATCAAAGTAATTTTCAGGGCTTTTCCTATATTGGTTGACTGTGCCTAAGCAGAGAAATGTGCTGCCTGAAATAAAAAGACAGGACCAGCTAATGCTCCATGTGAGGTAGAAGCATGGCATGAGCAGACACCGAGCTTCACTTGCACATTTGGAGGACACTAGAAAATTATCTCAGATTGGCAAAAGGAAGTTACTTGGAAAAATAAATCGAAAAAGAGATGCTTGGTTTTTGAAAGTGAAATATTGCAACCCCTTGTCCATTATTCTTTTGGATCCAAGGTAAGGATAAGGATAATTGGATTCTAGAGATTGTCAGTTGAGACTCGTAATTCTTTATCCAAATCCCTCTGTACCAGGATGTTTGGACATCCAGATTTTGTGGTATTTTAGAAAAGTAACCTGCATATATAATGCCACTGTAACCATTAACAAAACATTAATATTTCAGCAGTGAAATAAATGAATAAAGGATAAAGACTATAAATAGCCTCTCTTCACATGTCAAGTTTTGCTGACAAAAAAAGTCATTACAAACTTCGTTTTCAGAGGTTATTTTTTTTTTTTCAATTTGTAACTGTTGATAAGGGACTGTGGATCTCCATTATTGAGAATAAATCCAGAATCTAGAGGTCTTAATCTTGGGCACCAAAGGTATGCATCCACCTCATACACGCTTTTTCCATAATGTAAGCTACTTACTGGTAGGAAGCAAAGGGAAGAGACTATATTTTATTTGCAGAACCAATTCTAGTGAAGAACATCATATTGAACCCAAATCTTCCTCATGTTTGATATAGGCTATGATGACCCCCTTGAGATTGGAGTTATTCATTAATTTCATAATTTTATATCCCTAATCTAGCTGCAATGACAACAAAACCCCAGTGGCTGCCATGAACATTACTTTACAGAGGCTGAAATTAACCAGATTACTGTGAGACCCAACAATTTGGCTTAGATTCAGAAAATGATTTGATCTTAGAAAGATCTTAGAAGAAAATGCTAAAGTAATAAAAATTTAAAAACTTATTTGGCAAACACACTAAATTATATATGAAAAATACCAAAATTTATACATGTAAGAAACTTCTTACATGTATGAAGAATATATCTTTAAATACAAAGTATTAGGTAGATATGGAGGTGTTTATTATAAAACTCTCAAGTTCGTTATATGTTGGAAAGTTTCATAATAGAACGTTGGGAAAAAGGAGTCAATGGGGAAAAAAAAATGTATGTATGCTACCAGTGCTGATTCACTCTTTTGAAAACATGAAGTTTATAATCACACAACTCAAATGCCAGATATAACTTACCTTCCATAATAAAAGAACTAACAGAGCAAGCATCAAAATTCCAGCAAGGACAGCCACCAGGATGATCCACCATGGTACTCCAGAATGTTGAGCCACAGTCTTTGAGGGAAACACAGTCACACGAACCTATGGGACAGACAAGAGAGCAACATGATGATCATGAAAGGGGGCGACAGGTAACACCAGTTTAGAGTTCTAATTCTGCTTCCAGACACGTTTTGGACAGATGAGATGTCTTTCTGATGTAAGATTCTCTACCTTAATAGTGGAATGTTGCTTTAAGAGGCATTCCTTGGAGAGCTTTTCCCAGAGCCCAGAAAATGCTGGGTTATGTTTTGACGAAGTGGTTATTTCTTTGCTAAATTATCTTTAAAAAAACTTTTCTTATCAATGAAAGTAGAGAAAATTGTATAATGAACCATCATTCATCAAGTTTCAACAGTTATCAATACATCACCCCATTGTTTCGTATCTTTTTGAGAATGATCACAGTTTTTTAAATTCGGTTTTCAGCCATAAAGAGGGCCAGTTTATCCACAATTAGCCTACATTCCTCCCTCAGGTTTTAAAATGTTGTGAAATATAAAAACAGGGTGGAGCTACATGACTGATACCATTTTAACTTTCCCTTAGAATATCAAACTAAAGACCTCCGTAACAATGATCTCTCTTAAAATAGCTTGGTGCCATCTTCTACAATGTGTATGGACAAACTGGACCCTGAATTCAGAGACAGCTTAGAGCTTTAAGCTGCAGCTAATGAGAAGCTTAAGCTCTAAACATTTGATAGTTGGCAAATGTTTTTGAAATGAAATGAAAAATAGTTTTCATTCAGAAATCTAAAGAGTTGCTTATGGAAATTCACAACTCAGTTAATGGGGGTTTAGAATTTAAGTGGATTTTTGAGATACCAGGAAACCATTTTTCAAAGCACATAAAAGACCTGGTGATGATTATGATTTTGTAAACTACACCAATTAGAGATCTACTTGTTTGAAGTTTCTGATATTTCTGAGTGAAGAGAGTGTAAAAAGTAAATGAAACTTGGAGCATTTAACGTCTAAGAAGTATTTAAGCCAAGTATTTTATATTAGTATTGATCGCTGGATGCTGCCTAAAAATGCTTCTATGTCTACACTGTGCTTCAATACTTCCATACTATAATTCATTTTTTAAAAATTTCTTCATTAAAATACTTCCCTTTCTACTTATACTAGAAAACAGCTATCAACCCTGTTTGGCTCATAGAAAATACTTAAAAGCAAGATAACTCGTTTTCTTTAAACATTTAGTAGGAAGAAATTCACATTTAGAGTTTCAGCCAACTATATTTGACTATAACAGGCACCTTTATCACCTACCAGGTTTCCTGTTTTGCTCTCAATGAGGTTTCAATCGAGCTGCTAGCCCCAGGTGGGGGCCTCAGAGCTCACTTCCCCTCAACTCCCTTCCCCCAATAGATGTCCCAGCTGTAAGGTAAAAACCACCTTTTCCTGAGGTTGTTTCTAGCATGGGGATAGCCATAAAGTAGAGAAGAAAAAATAGTGAGAGACCAATGAAGAAATAATATAGCAGATGTGACCAGTAAACTGACTACTCTAAAACAAAACAAAAAAATCATTTCAATTAGCCTATGCTAATTGGTATCTAGCATACAGAAGGTACACAGTATGTCCTTCCGGACAAGGTGACAACTTGGAAGGGCCATCCTGATTTGTAAGAATAAGTTCTGATAAACTTGGATGTGGAGAGCAGAGAATGGTCCAAGGTAAGAAGAATGAGCCTTATTATAATCACAGTATGTACTGAACACTTTTAAATGGGGGGAGAGCAGTCCTATAAAAGGCTGCAGTTCAACAAGCATTCAAACTGAACAAGATAATTTTTGATTTTGCAGCCTGAGGTAGCAGGGTGGGTAGGTGGGAATCCACCTGAGAGCTCTAAACCCCAGGTCTGGCTACCGTTCAAACCAGAACTTGAAGCCTTATAGAAATTGCAAAACAACTCATTAGACAAAGACTGAGGACGAAGTTAGGGGGATGGGCAGATTTAAAAGGCTGATGTGCTCTACAACCCCAGTCTGTGTGCAAGGCCATGCTGCAGAGCAGGAAAGTGAGAGTCCAGTCAGCAAGATTTTGTTTGTTCACTTCAATTGTCAACCGAAGGTGTTTTTGTTTTGTTTTGCATGACGACGGTCATTCTCCAGCTGGGATCAAGAATAAGAGAAGACCAGCTTGGAGCTGCCAACTCAGAACTGTAGTTCTCAGAGCTCTGGGAAGCCTTGTCTCCTCTTGTCACAGCAACTGTTACTGATGGACAATGACAGATTAAGGTGAGTAGAAATTACTCCCAACTCCAAAAACAATATTGTTTTTGGTTTCATTAAAACGTAGGCATTTCCATAGGGATGACCTAGGCATGTGAACCTTATCCATCATGTGCCTGTAAAGGGAAAAGGGCTTATGCTCTGCCGATGCATGGAATTGCATCACAGTGAGTAGTGCTGAGACCACGTCAGCTTGCCCACTGCCAAAGCACTTCCCTAAATCACTCTATAATGTAATACACTCACTCTCATTCAATACTCATATAAGAAATCACCCGACGAAGAGATTTTCATCTTTTGTAAAATTTTCTATCAAAGATACCATCCCCTTACTGAGTGTTCCATCTTACGATTGGATCCATATCTCAAGTCCTCTGAATTAAGCCAAAAATAGAAAAAGAAAATGTCATTCCCCTGAAGAAGAATGTGCCTACTTTTACCTATCATACTTCCTTTTATCTTTGGCAGCCAGGAAGCTTAGATACTCTACCTACTTTCTTAGGAATGAAGTGGGGTATATATGAGTACGACTAATAAACAATCCTCTTCTTCCTTGGCTTAATTCAGCAATTCTCACCTGGTTCACTGTGCCCTAGACCTAGACCATGAAATTCTTAACAGTTGACCCGGTATTTTATTCAACTTTGCTTCTCTAGCATCCGTGCAGAGAAGGCACACAGTCTTTCCTCAATAATGCTTGTTAACTGGGTGGATTTAATTTGGGGAGGATGTATTTAATTGATGCTAAAATGTAACCATTTTATCTGGTTCAATGAGCTGATCAGCTCTCTCTGACGGTGATATAATGTCTTTAAAATGTTTTATTCAGAAGTGAACACAAAACTCTTGAAACTGGTTTGGTTATAAGGGAACAAAAAGGGTTTTTCTCTTTAAAGCCAAATTTAGAGTTAAAGCAATGGAAAGAAACTTCGATATTAAGACCAAAAGACAAGCCTCAATTACGCAACCTCCTTTGCTTCTACCTGCAAAGAAAAACAATCTTCAGACTGGAAAGGATAGATGAACCAAGATAAAGATGAAATTGAAACTGCAAAAGTGAGGGAATAAAAAAGGAAGGCATCTTAACACCTGAATTAAGCTAAAATCTTTAGCTTCCCCAAAAACTGCTTCTTAAAATACTAAAGAAATGTGCAGATATGATATCTGAGCTATTGTATCTCAGAAATCACTGTTAATGGAAGAGGTATCTCAGTTTTCAAAATAAAGGAGCTCTAGATATGAGACCAATAATGCATTCACAAATCTACTTATTAAAGCAAAGATTCCAATTCCCATTAGCAGGCCTGAGTTCTCCAAGCCCTAAGAACAAGTAATGCACGAAAGAACCTCATTTTCATTTGTGACACAGCCACTAGACTGGATACCAGGGACCCTAGTTCCATTGTCTTCTAGAAAACAGCAGCACTTGATGAGGAGTTGTGGGCCCGAGGCCTGGTCTCATCTCCCCATGCTGGTCCTGTGACACTGACAGAGAGGTAACCGTCCTCAGACTCAGTTTTCCCATGTGAATTTGATATCTAGGGACTCAATGGGGGAACAAGTGTCACAGTCAAAGAACAGGAGTCCTGAAATCAGATAATTATAGGTGTCAATCCAAGACCCCAAATTATATCCCCTCTCTGTGCCTGTTTTTGTAAAATGGGTACAATATCTGAACTCTGCTGCTGTTTACATGAGAGCACAGAGGTAAAGCGTTTAGTAAATTGCAGACGTTTTATGAATGCGTTATCAGTGGTAGCCCCTCCCCTCTAAAGTGTTCTTTCTCTTTCCGGCTCCAAAAACTCAGTGATTCTCCAGATACAGAGAACAAACTGGTGAATGCCAGTGGAGGGGAGTTGGGGAGGCTGGGTGAAGCAAAGCAAAACAAGAACAAAAACAAACCTCAGTGATTCTCAGGGTTGCTGATTTAAAGTTACAGAAAGCTGTAGCAGCTGCCTTCAGTCAGAGAAGCGGAGAAAGGATTCTCAGGGAAGGTGTTCTTTAGCTGAGTTTCTTATGATGACTTGATACGATGTAGAAAAGTGGGCTGGAGTAATACCCAAGGATAATATAAGGCCAGGGTGACCATATGTCCTAGTGAGCCTGAAACAGTCCAGGTTTACACCACTTGTCCCAGCATCCTGCCTCATTTAGCATTTTCCCCAGACAAGTGTATTCTAGTTTGGATGATGAATTGTGTATGTCAGAAACCAAAGTGATCGGAGCAGCTCACTGGATTTTCAGCTGCCTAAAGGACTAAAGCCAGAACATTTCCTTAAGTAGGTCAATAGATCAACTTAAGAAGAGTAATTCACCATCTTCCTTTCTCCATTCAGTCTCTTTTGCAAAACATTCCCACCATAACGACATACCTCGAGAGCCTAATACATGCCCCTGTAGGTTCCAGACCCCCACAAGGAACCCCTCACTAGTGGTACACCACAAGATGCTGCTCCTAGTCCTGTTCAATATTTTTTCTTAATTACCTGGATGAAGGCATACTTCTTAGTTTTGAAGACAAAGCTTGCAGCAACAGAGAGTTAAGAGAGAGCAAATGATCAAGACTCAAAACTACTCTGTAAACTGAAACAACAAACCAAAAGCAAATCTCATAAAATGTGAGAGTACCTTTAAAGGCATGCATTTAATTTTTTTAAATTGCTCAAAGATGGGATATGAAAAATATAGCCTGACAATAAGTTCTGATGGAAAAACATGGAAGCTTCAGCAGAACATAAATACAAAAATAGTAGCTGCTAAAAATGCAAACACAATCCTCAGCAAACATTAAAAGATCAAATTTTAGACTGAGATGCTGGGAGGTAATGGCCTCAGGGTAAGCTGAACTAGGCAGACCACATGGCAGCTACTCTGCCCATCCCTGCCACCTGGGAATCACGCTGCCCACCTAGGGCTAGCCCAGGGAGAGGAGAGACCTGGAATAGTTCAGCCCTGGGCATGATGGACAACTGAGGAGCTGAGTGCTTAGCTCTCAAGAGAAAAGACAGACATGTCCAAGGAACCATGACAGTTTCTTTCCATTATTTCAAAGGTTCTCTTGGCTACATGGCCAAGAGAAGTTATTCTGGACTTGTTCCAAGGGTCTTGACCAGGAGCTGACTGTATACGGTTCAATTCTGGGTTCAATTAATACATATAAAGATCTTTTCCAATAACTGCAGCTGGCCACACATGGCATGAGCTACGCCATAACGCAGTATGGGGTTATCACCTTTGGGGGCACTCCACCAACGGCTACAGCACCAGGGACAGTATGACATGGGTTTCTCTAATCTACCATGTGCACTGAAGGACTTGATGATCCTAGACTCGCTTCTTTTCTCAATGATTCTATTAAAATACAGCTTGGGATGGCAGTACCCTAAGACACTACCTGAGTTCTCCTTAATGGGGATAACGGTGCTGTAAAGGTAACGCATGCCGAAGCAGCACATCCTCAGGCCGTGGGCATGGAGTAAAGGGAAGAGTAATTTGCTCTGGACTGAATAAGGAAGGGGGAACCTCTCACCTGCGTGCCTGCATTTGGCAGCTTGATATTCTCTGTGGCAGCAGTTACATCAATGGAAGCCCGCACAAGAATGTCCAAGTAGTTCATTTTAGAATATTCCTGATTGGAGACAAAGTTAGTGAATGCATTAGGAAAGTGAGAAACATCCTAGGAGGTGGCAAACGGCTTCTAGTGGACAGCCTTGGAGTGGGGCCAAACCTCTAGAAATGTGCTGTTCCATAACCTTGAGCGCAGAACAACCGAGGCCTTGCTGTCCAGCCCACGCAGTGGGCACCTTATGTTCACACATTTCACGTTGACGCTGCAGTTCTGGAGAGACAGGACGAGTAGTAGTTAAAAAGCCAGGGTCTGGGGAAGATCTTACTCCCACATCCTTTGTCACATATTCACAGCTCTTGAAAAATACTTACAAGGGTCTGGTATTTTCTTTCAGCAAATAAAGAAAATTTTCTGTTATCGTCTATCTGTTTTTCAGCAATTTCCCGTTTCTTTCTTGAGTAGTGAGATTCCTGAAAAGAATTATATCCAAAATCGTCCCACTTAATATACTTCTGTCACTACTGTACCAACCTCCTGAATACACCCTCCCAAATGATGCCAAATTCCCAAACTCGACAATATTCATCCTTTTCCTGTCACCAAAGGTGCAGAAATAATTTAAGTATAAAATCTACAAGTGTTATCTCACTGCAAGTTTACTGATTAAGGTAATTTAATCCCACTCTGACCTTAAAACCCAAGGAAAGGAAGAGGCTTTCGTTGTTCTTCTGTCTCCCCACCAAACTGAACATCCTATTATCAGAGATTGAATCTCATTTCTATATCCCTAGCACCAGCTCAGTGCCTAACATATGGTAAAAAGTCAGTACAGCTTGAATGAATACGTGACACTGAAGAACAGGAAAAGAAGCAAAAAGATCTAGCATGTGACTTTTCCAAAGCAGAGTACTGAAAAACAAAGCTATGTAAGAAGTTTTAAAATTGCATCTTCCTTAAAATAAGGATTAGGAATAATGGACCATCTTGTTTTTCAAAGTTGATGAAGAATCATTCTAATAAGACACTAACTATGAACACTGATCATACCTAGTCACCTTAGAATTTAAAACAGAAGAAACAGACATTCGCCAACGAAGCAAATAGTTATCAAACTTGAGTGTAAATGATTAAACAGTTAACATAGGTGTGGAACAGGAGTAAAGAGTGAAGGCTTTGAAAAAAAAGCAAGCAGAGCTGAGCCTGAATGCACAATCTACCTCCTAACCACCGAATGACCCTGAGAAAGTTAATCTCTCTGAATTTCCATTTCCTCACTTACGAAATTGTGGGGAAAAAAATACCTCATAGGACTATCAGGGGAATGAAATGAGAAAATGCAAACAAAATGCTTAGCGTAGTGCCAGAGACACAATAAGTACTATTACAAAAAGAAAGAAAGAAAGAAAAAAGAAAGGCTTTCAAGGTCATTTACTAAGGTGCCAATATCTTTTCTAATGAGTTTGGTTCTACTGGGAGTTAACACTGGCTGGCCCACCCCCAGGAGCATGTCCCAGTCCTTCTCATGTGTCATACTAGGTCATAAAACCTCAAAAATGTCATTTGCTTCAATAAGCAGTGAATGACCCTGACCTAGGTGCCATAGTGGTCTCCAAGCAACAGAAATCCTCAGCCTGACTTGGTCACTCAACTATAGAAGAGAAATTCTGACACCGAAGAAAAAAATCAACATGCCAGAATATCAGTTTCTTGATGGAAGTAATGGGTCTCCCCTCAAAAGTCAACTTCTCTGATTAACATCTATGGAAACATGAGATAAATCTACCAACATACCTTTAGGTCCAGAAGGTTTATTTCATTTTGTGGCTCACAAGCTATCTTTTCCAATCCTTTGGATTCTACTTTCACCAAGTAAAGCAACCATTTGCCATTGTTAATTTCTTTTGGCCACTGGATATTCAAGGTTGCTGTGCCGAGGTTTTTAAGAGGTTTGCCCAAGTTAATTACCTGTTAGAAAATAATGCATGTTATCCTAGTGTAATTCTCCTGAGGTAAGATTAAATAGAAGGTCCTATGCCAAGAGAAAAAAAGCCAAAATATCTGGTACAATACTACAATAAAAGCCCAGGCTCCAAAACTGGACTATCGATAAGGTACTCAAAATAGAGATCTGCGCTTAAAAATAATCTTGTCAATAAAAACAAAGATAAAAAAGGTCAAAGAGAAATGATGGCTCATTCAATCCAGAGCAACTGCTGTGTGCAACAGAATCTGCAGTGTGGTCTCACCATGCCCGGGGAAAAGTCATGTGTGTGTCTGTGAGCAGCTCTGTAAACCACCCTGCCTGGCAGGTGACAAAGCCTGTGCCACGGCAGTGCACCAACCACCTGCTTCTGGGGAACACTACCCACTGCAAAAATGAAGCTGTCTCTGTCCTCCATGACCCTTGAGGAGCTTGGGATAACAACGGGGAAACTGAGTAAAATCATGATGGCAGCCATGAATCTATGAGGCCAAGCTGGGGACAGAGCAAATGCCTGCAGCAGAAGCCAAAAAAGGAGTAAGAGCCTTCTCTGTATGAAGGCCTGCTCCAGAGCCCACAGACTTCTTTCTCAGCCACAGCTGCACAGGTGTCATAACCACCACCATTACCTGTCACAGCTGTATCTGTCGTACTAAGAGATGCAAAGAGGAGAATTCAGCCTCTTCATCCTGCTGGAGTTAGGGGTGGGCCTATTCTGGCTATTTCAGACATTCAACTCAACAACGGCCACTATGTTTTCAGGAATTTGATTTGAGCCACACAGACCCGAACCCGCATATGAGTTACGAGCCATGCATTTACGTTCCTTCAACTGGACTCAGAGTCACTGTGATAACCTACTCTGAAATGGTGCAGAGCGATCATTAGTCTTCCTTACTAGCATAGGCCAAATCCACATTCGCCATCACAAAATTGGGCTTGGGAAAGGTGAGTGAACATTAACTACAAGTGCTAAGAGAGATGGCTTTATAATGGAGAAAGAAATAAACCAGACTACATTTTAAAGCCAAACATGAATTACTTTGAGATTTTTTTGTGCGTTTTATCGACAGACTCTGGGTTGAAAAAAAAAACAAGGATTCCTTTGTCTTTATATCTCATATACATTAAAACTCTAA